TTTTCTATCACTTTGCCGTCCAACCTTCACATAGAGTTACGCTCCAGCAAACACACTTACCTTTAAAAAACGGTTTTAAAGCGCTTTGATAAATTCGGTATTGGTAGTATGGTATACGTTTTTACCTGAAACCGTCAAGAAAATTTAAATTTCAGGGCTATTTTGACATTAGAAAGTTGATCTTTACCTGACTAGTACTGTAATATTTTTGCCTGACTCCCATTACAGTCCTAGTACATGCAAAATAACAATTAGATCGTTCATTGAATAAATTATTCAATTAACGATTGGATAATTATAATGCAGACTATGTGGATATTTTTAAATATTAATACACCTACACAAAGGATAATGGTTTTTTAATTACTAACAATTAATGGAATATGTGTGGAAGTAATTATTCCTTTAGTCTTGCGCCAGTCATTAAAAGGTTTGTACGCCTTTTCGTACCTCTTTCTTGATTTTGTGGGGAGCGAATATTGCACTAAGACGGCCGCAGCTTCGGCTACATTATAACAAAGTCTCGTGTAGGTACTCTTCTTCACTGATACCTGCTTTTGTACCTAGTTATAAAGACTGTATAGTTGAAAAGTACAAAGCATAAACTGCAAACTGCATTAAAAATGACACTGATTATTTTAATTATTTTTCAATCTTTATGGAAACAATTAAATAAAGTGATTTTAGCATGCGTGATTAGGTATCAAAATTTCACACATATGAATAATTTAATTTGGAAAAGTTATCTACATGTTGCGATTTCAGGTAAAATTTTATACATAATACGTCATGAAAGTGAGTCCACCATGTTTCATATACATATTTATTTATTTATTTATTTATTTATTTATTTATTTATTTATTTATTTATTTAATTATTTATTATCCCTCTCTTGTTCTGGGCCCTCAACAGGCTTGCGCCCAATTACAGAGTGACCCGCATAATGCTTTTTTAGAAGTGCCTCTGCAGAAGGTCTTAAGTTGTTCTATACTACTCCGGTATTTACCTTACGAATTAGGAAAACTGCAGGAAAACCTAATTCGGAGTAGCCGGCAGAATGCTCGAAACTGGTCTAAGGTAATTTCCATCTCTGCCACAGATGAAAAATTCACCTCAACCCAGGTTTGAACACCCGACCTCCGGATTTATAACTCAACGCTCTACCATTGAGCCATAATGCCGGTTTATATACCATAGAGTTAACGCTCTACGTTGATAATACGTATATAAATAACCGCTTTTTAGCATTCGTTTGATAAACGTATATAACACCACTGTAAGATACACATATACGCATATAAATCGTATATATTAATGAGAAATAATAAACGCATAATATTCCTTTAAGAATACGAGTATAGCAATATCCGCCTTACATTTATGCGTATTAAATACGTAGGGTTAATTTAGTCTATCTATACTAACGCGGAACTGTGTTGCTAGGGACGTTGTACGTTAATTGCTCATGTTTATTAACGGTAATGTTTACTTAATGGATTCAACGTCTCACAAGAAAACATTTTATAATAAATCAGAGTGCTTGAATTCGAAATATACAAATCGCAGCATGACAATCGGTTGAATGAGGGGAGAGATGAAACCGAACTTTGAACCTCACATTGAGTTAATTCTCTAGGTCATCACTAGAATCTAGAGACCTTGAGCTTTATCTCGGATGACTGATAATGACATATGACACCACAAAAAAATGGTGTCATAGATCTTTAAAGGCGAGCAACCCTTGAGCTTTACCTTGACCTACTTTCTAAGGTCACACGCTTTCCAAAATCATAGGAGGTCGGAGAGCCCGTTGCCCTTCGCATTAATTGACACTTGGCAGGCATAATCTTTGAGCAGTAGCACGAAATGAGCAGGAATTACATAAAACCGTAAGTAAGGGATATATGATTGGGTCCAATATGTTTCAGCATCAATTTCCAAAATGTGGCGCGAGTAAGTATTACGAGCAGTCGCGTTCGTTCCCACGATAACACACAAATATGTTGACATATATAGGAAGCTTAATTTGTTACACAGATAAATCAGACTTAGGGTCTAGGGAAGAAGTGATCAAATTTTGCGCATCGTGGGTTAACCCCATGCGGAAGGTTAGCATAAAATGCATGCTAGCCATGCTTACTTATCGGTCTGCGTGGGTTTATTATTTTATTGATTTGACCTTAGAACAACAAACCCGTTAGTGCAGGAAACACTTTACCTTTGAAAAGCTTTTAATTAAATCCACATGTGGGTACGCAATTTTAATATAACTGACCTGAATACTATATACCTAGTTTAATTTCATTTAATTTTTTTGCCAAATATCAAAATAAACTCACGCGGTTTCTACCTATAGGTAACGGTTGCAGTTTAGAATACCGGTACAGCCCATAATTTCGCTGTTTTCGAGTGTTAAAGCGAAGAAAATGGGGTTTTGTCTAATATTGGCTCATTTCCGAGGTGAAAATTTGTCAATGTAAACTGAAAATTAAAACAGAATCCTCGAAAACTTGCAAAAATATTGCTTAGAAACATGCAAGTATGCCCATCTGGCTGATCATATATTTAACACTTTCATCTTCTCTCTCCAATAGACAAAATGGACATATGTGCCAGATTTCTGTTTAATGAAGTATGAAACTAAATTATGCAAAATTCTAATACGCAAATCCATCCCTTCATCGACGAGGGAATAATTAACGCAAATTAGAACAATATTTCAGTACCGACTAGAATACTGTAAATATGAGCTCGAGTATGAGTTGGATTGAACGCTGTCACGCGCCAATAATCACGATTACTCGATCGAGAGAATCAAAGGGCTCTTCACACAGCATTGAGCACTCAATATAACCCCAAACATTACGTCACTGTCAAATTCATGACCTATACAGGAAGTCTAACAACTTAATAATCAATTTCGCACCTGAACGCTAATTTTCTTACTTAAACGCTTTCATCTTCGTTCGGAAATATCGTCCTGGGTCTTTATATTCTATATAAATTTCATAACGCATCATTGTTTTTTACGCCTCTACAAAATTCTATACGAAATTAATTTTTTTCGCTACCAGATATCCTTTATGCCTTAAAGTTTGTAAATTTTCTCGTGCCGATATTGTGCACACTTTCGATTTATTTTCTTCGACCCTTGCCCTAAATATCGTTCGTTTTCGATATTATTAAAATTGTGGAACTCGAGTAACAAGTAGAAATACATCGCAAATTGTTATATGGCATGTAGATGTAACCGTTCAAATGAACTGAAGTGACAAATTAGCCATTACGCATTGCCGTTAATCTGAAATAAGTTTGCTATGCGTTATGTTCGGTACATCATGTACCTTGACCGACAAAAGTTATGATAACCGGAAGCATTCGGCCCTATGCTGTATCACTATCGTTAAGAATAACGATATCGTTATGCGGCGTTACCATAATTTTTTAAAAATCGGTATGCTGTATCACTCGTAGCAAGTGTGGGATAACGATTATCGTAATTCTCTATCGTTATTTTGCAACCATAACCAGAAAAACTTAACGACAGGGTTCATGCTACCCGTTTGGGGCGTAACGGTCCTGTCAGCGATTCGTTTGGAGTTTAAGCGGGTGTTAAAGAGAAAGAAAATGAATAATTTTCAAGGATTTTTGCAAGTAGCTTTGTTTGGGCAATTGGAAAATGTAATAAGGAGGTGAGTTCTGTGTCTTTTAATACTCGTAGATTATGTTTTTATTGAGACATGAGGAAAACATCCAACGAAGAATTTTACGAGGCAACAGCGATCCGTTTCAGCTGGGTGAAATTGATTTTCAAAAAAAATTTCGAGAATCTGTAAGGCAGTATTTGGTGGTCCATTTCCGCTGGCAAACTCCTGCCACAAATGTTTGATTTTGTTTGCCTCTAACGGTTTTGTCTTTCCGTGGAGGATTATGTTATTACTTTCAATAAAATATAACAAGTCCTCAAATTGTTTCCTAGTGGTTTTTCTCCGCCTCTTATTATTCTCATCGACATTCGCCATGTCGTGAAAAAACAACTAGGTATAGGTACACGTACAATTAATAATACAAATAATTTTAAAGAAACGTCTGCATTTCCAAATCTGGCGGGCATTTGTTTAAAGATAAAGCGCGCACCACAACGCCCTCTTATATTTTATCGCTGTGGTATTTCACTCTTACACGCACTGCCGTTGCGCAGCGTTCCTTGTCTTCTAGAATGTGACACTTTTTTCCGAAATAGTCACTGCGAGATACCGGGCAACGTTACGATACCGTTAAAATATTGATACAGCATATCGCGTTTATCGATAGTCGTTGTGGTCATCATAACCTTTGATCGTTAATCTGCGATAACGATTGATCGTATAGAATAACGAGAGTGATACAGCATAGGGTTGATTGAATTTATAATTATAGTTATAACTTCAATGTCGGAAGCTTACTGCCACTTAGGCAACCAACCATACACTAAAATGGCACCGTTGAAGTGTAACTTTTCCGCAGGGAATTCGTGTGGGATAGGCAGAGACATGGGATGTCTCTGGGGATGGGATGTCTCTGGGGATAGGCCGCAAGGCGTCGCGTATTGTCGTCTTTGCTTCGGCGTTTCTTCATCACTGCCTTGATATAAACGCTACAGTAGGTATAATCATTGAATAAAAAATTAAGTATTCAATGGTATAATTACAAAAATTGGTAAACCCCGATTTTATGCATTATATTCTGGCAAACTTAACAGACATTAATTCACATTGGTATCTTCAATTTCGTTTTTCTCTCCATTGAAATGCGTCGTTAACTGTACTTTAATTATCGGCATTTCTAAAACAACATGATAATGTTTTTGGAAATGATTTGTAACATACTCTTTGTTTGTAATTATATTATTTAATAGTCATGCCAGTATAGATAATAAGGATTGATATTTATTTTACTAATAAAAACAGTTTTAGACATGACTTGATATAAGGTTAATATAGTTCTATAGAACACTTACCCACAGTGGTCAGTAACATGTTGTCCAGGAGAAGTGCTATTGCTACTATTACTAGCACGAGGCGGCGGGACTCTCGACAGCGTTGCACCCAGCCGCCTAGGCGCGTTCCCGCCACCCATTCGTTCAACACCGTCATGTTGACTTAATCTGAAAAGAGAAGTTGCTCCTATGAATTAATCATAGTTGGACCAAAATACACTGCTACAACGACAAGCATAATATAAATATAATATAATATAATATAATATAATATAAATATAAAGCGACTTTCTTTCCAAAAGATACGTAGGATAATTAGAATGGCGATAGTTGAGTCACATTTGTTGGATACAACACTCATGACCGGTGATCCGTTACCATTATGTAACGCTTACTTTACTGATTTTTCGCAAAAGTTTCGGAATTTTTCCTTAATTTATTAAGACGTTAGTAGCTACATAATAAATGTTTCATGCACAGTAAACGGAATGAAACAAAATTGTTGATTAATGTAATTGATTTCAGTGATGTTTTAATTCCGAGTTTGATTTAATCAAAGTCGTGGTTAGTAACTGAGAATCAATATGATGATGATAGTGATGATCTAAGCTAAGGTGTACAAAGATTCTATGACACTCTACCGCAAATAGGGCGATGACCTGGAAAATGAAGTCGAAGTGGCACTTGTGAGACCATATCTCTTTGTCCGGGGATCTGCACATCACGACAGCACACGGCGTGCTAGATTTCATAAGTTTTCTAAATATTGCATCCGAGATTGCATCACACATTTTTCCATTTTGACCACCCGCACGTTAGTAAAGAAGGTATTGCATTGGGGTAAAAATGACCCCCTACCCTACTTTTTTAAGAAAATACACGTTTTGAAGCACCAGGAATCCGAATCAAACAAAATCTCGATGATGTCGATCGATCTGTCGGTCTGTCTGTCTGTCTGTCAGCCTGTATTCTCATTTCGGGCTAAACGGCCAAACCGATTGGAAACAAATTTGGTACACATATTCTTAGACATAAGAGGGTAGAATCGCGCGTGCGCAGGTGTGCGGGTGGTCTCTACGCTAGCCAAAAATTTTTTTATATATCGGCCATACGCATATTTTATGATGTAGGACAGCAAACTGATTGCTCTTAGATTGGTCAAAGATCCTAAAAAACATAGGCATTGCATTTAAAAAACATAAGTTGCGTCCAATTCGGGTTAAACCGGAAGTGATACCGATATACAATCGGACAGATCGTAATGTCACATACAAAATTATATTTGAAAGTGTTTTCGTATTTCGGCAAATAAAACAGATTGAGATGACCCTCTTATTCCGAACAATGTGTACAATTAACAATAACGAAATTCGAATCAAATATCCAGTCAAGTACTCCAAAGGCCGCAACCGTAATATGTCACAATTTTCATTTAATTAAAGAATAACAACAGGCGAGACAAAATGCCAACTGCCCACGAATAGAGAATAAGATTTCAAAGTAAAACCGTTAAAGCTACTTTCATTAAAAATATGTTCCAATCCTCATTCCTCTTAATTGAGTACGGATACTAAAGAGGATTAAATTCAATCTCAATTATTACTACGATATCATAAACTCGAGGGATTTCAATATTGTTGTTCCAGAAATCGTACCTACTTCAAAAATGTCGGTATTCCTTATTAATTTAGGATTTTATTTCACTGCCATACAAACCGCTGGAATACAAAATCAAGGACTTAGTTAGTACTTAGCTAGCAGTTAATTATTGTTATCACGTTTGCTATCAGCTACAGAAACAGTATAAGAAGTGTTTAATAAGTTTCTCGGTCGGTTATACAAAGATAGTTTAACTTTAGTTGGTTAAAAAACTAAATTGCATAATTTTTGAATTTTAATCACAATCTGGACTTACACTAGCACTTTTGAGTACCGCTTGAGACTATTCTAAACAAGAAACAAGTTTTCGAACTAAGGGGAGGGAGTAGCTTTAGCGCATAGATCAGTACTTCCTGAAAAGCTATGGGAACGTGTACAACAGAAAATAATTGTGTAAACAAATATAGCAAACGAGCTCCTATGTATGGCTATAGCTTGGCAGTGCGTATTATACGGCTAAGCTGTGATCATTTTGAATTTCATGGCATTCGATTCGTAACTAACGGAGATGTCAAAATGGTCTACCTTATTTTTTACTTACATTGCCAATTCACGAACTCAGATCTACAAATTTGTTGATAAAGAATCCACCTTTTATCGTAATCGGTCCATTCGTTTTCGAAACCTCTATTGAGACAATTTCATAAAATTTTTTTCTATGATGGACCGTTCATAAAAACGGGGGCAGAAACAACCCAAACGTTGCTGGAAGTGCCGAGAAGCGACATGTATTTGAAGCAGGGCCGTAGCCAGACAGGCTCACAAACATTCAGGACAGGCGGCCTATTCCTGAACAAAAAATTCAAAATTTACTAGGTTTGTGAACACACGTGGAATTTTTTTTAAATAATGAATAATAATCTAAAATGAAACCCTGAATTTCTCAGAGTGACCTATTACTACATTAAATGTACCCTGGAACGAATTTAGTGCTCATCAAACAGCACAGACGATAGCAGATATCAAATGTCACTTACTTTTACACACTTGTTCTTTCACGGTAAGCAATCGCAATCCTCTACCTTTTATATTTAATAACATGCTCGAGAAAAATACATCAAAATAAAGTAGTACTTCGCATTTTTTAAATTTAAAAGTTTTTAATCACCGATTCTTAACCAGATTAAATTTTCTCAATCGTCCTCGTAATAGAAGCGTATATGGTTAAAATTTTTCAGAGATTTTCGTAAGTAAAAAAGATGTCATTTTGCAGTTTGCGCATGCGCACATTTGATTTTTTACTACTTGTTTCCCTTTGCGAATTACATTTCTAGTTTTCGATTTTTACTAAATGTGATATGTTTTTCTTTACTAGAAGCATCTATGGTTACAAATTCGAAGAAATATTGTCATAAATAATGAAGTTGGGACTGCGCAGAATCTAATGTTTACAATATGAAATATGTTTGCCTTCGTTGAAAAATGCGCTAAGAGATCAAAGCTTCACCAAATATTTGTGATAAACCACCGACTTCACGAGACGCCCTCGGCCATTTGAGATGTTGATATATCGTAATTCTATACCGATAGACAGTGCAGCGTTGCGGGTTTTAAAAAACATGTTATACATAGATATGTTCGTTTAATTGATAACCGCAACATCGTCAATAGTAATAATTATATATTTTAGCACACTAGTAAATTACAATAAGAAATTCGGAAATCTGGCTAGAGCAGGCTTAAAATTTTTCAGGGGAGGCTCAGCCTGCCCTGGCGTACCTCTGGCTACGGCCCTGATTTGAAGAACCTACAGAGGGAACCTAAAACTCATAATCATTCCATATTCAAGTTCAAATGTTTAACTGCCACTGCGTCGCCTACAGTGCCAGGATCTTCATTATTTCTGGTGGCTTAATACACAAAAATCCGCCCGTAACCGAGTTTCCAAAGCTGGAGGGTATACCTCGAGTTCGCCCCCTGATATATACATTACCATGTGTAAAGGTGGGCCCACATCAATAAAAATGTGCATTATACAGTGAGTTTTTTTTTAATGCCAACATAGGAGTTTGCATGCAATGTAATTTCCCCATGTTCGAAAAAAAACACATCAATCTATGAGGTGTGCGCGGTTCACATTCCCAAATCGCGCAACTTGTGTGACTATGAACAGCAGCTCTAATAGTTTCGTTAAGAATTTTTTAAAGAAGCCATGTGAAGCCATAGCAACTTTAGGATACATTTTTCTTAAACTTACGATAAGTTGACCTCACAGGGCAGGCGCTGACACCATAACTCATTGTGAACCAACCTTCAATTATTTGTAGGTCATGTGCACCTGGTATTCTACTAATTTGATCTATTCAATACATAAATGAAGAAAATAAGAAAATAAATAGCGAAAACAATTGCAATAAATGTTCGAAGTGTCCTCCTTGACATTCTAAGCAATAACCTTACCGATTTCGTAATTAAATTGGACGGCGGTATTTTTAAAAATGTGACAGCTGTCAATTGTATCTACTGCTCATTTGAACTACTCAATAGATTGATGTGTTTTTTTTTTAAATCGAACATAGGGAAATTACATTGCATGCAAACTCCTATGTTCGCATTTAAAAAAAATTCACTGTATGTTGAATTTTGAATTTTGGCAAAATATTTGTCGCACAAATTTGAATATGGTTACGTATTTCCCACGTAACTATCTATCTTGTGTGTTGCATTTACCGAATCCACTTGTTTAATGCGGCGTAAATATTTAAAGTTTACTTCCTTCTTATTTTAAATAGAAAACACGGTACTTTATTGTATTTACAAAATCTACATGAAAATCTACGGCCTTTAATACCACATTTCTCAATACCCAATCAAAGGTTTTCAAGTTATTCAAGATTTGTCTTTTTGTCAAGTTTGCCTGCTATTCTTTTGAGCCTTGTACAGTTGACTTGAAATTTCAAAAAGTCTTCCAAAATCGACAGCACTGAGTTGATGCTGCGTGATAATGATTTATATTTTGATCGCTCTTCTACAGGGTGTTTTAAAACTAATGGTCAACTTCAAACCCTAAAAAGTTGACTATTTCAAAATGGAACATGTTTTATTTTTTTGCACTTTCAAATGTAGATAAACATTCTACATCGATCAATTGTTACATTCCCTACACCTATCTGTTTACCTTCCGATTTATTTTAGATTTTCTGAAATTGTGACCGTTATGCATAATTATCTTAGGAGGCTTTAAAATAAATGCGTCAGTTGTTATCATTCGTTGTCGATTGTAGTTTATATCACTAAAAAAACATACTATTTACTTTAATGAATAAAAAGTTAAATGAAGATAACATAATAAATAGAAACAGGTAAAACAGGTATATCAAACGACAAAATAAAAACTTCGAAATTGATACAACTTTTGTGTTTCAAATGGAATGCCTATGTTTTTTAAGATCATTTAAAAGAGCAATCAATTGGCTGTACGACAACATAAAATATGCACATGGTTGATATACAAAAAAATGGAGAAATTGGTGATTCAATATTTAGAAAACTTATTAAATCTAGCATGC